GGGGGGGCGCGGGCTGACGCTGTTGTTGTCTCCCCGCGCACGCTGCAGAGGCCATCAACTGCCTAAACGCGGCCATCGACATCTACACCGACATGGTAAGGGCACCCCGGGCGCCCCGAGGGGCTGCCTCGCTGCTGATCCTCCCCTCACAGCCCCCTTTCCCGGCCTTTTCCCTGCCCTTTTCCCTTCCCCCAGGGGCGCTTCACCATCGCCGCCAAGCACCACATCACCATCGCCGAGATCTACGAGGCCGAGCTGGTCGACATCGAGAAGGTGAGGATCCCACTCCCCACCTAACCCTGGCACAGCCTTTCCCCAGGAAACTCGTGGATTCCCCGTCCCTGGGAGTGCCCAGGGATGTCTCCAATCCTCCGGGAGTGACCTGGGATAGCAGGAGGTGTCCCTGCCCCGTGGGTCGTCTTTAATCCCTTCCGACACAAACCATTCCGTGACTGTGTGATTTCCTTGCCAATAATTCCCAGCGTCTGGTGCTGGGATTCCTCACACAGGTGACTTGGAATCAGTGGTTTTCCCAGCCCGGAGCAATCCCAAGCCTCTCCTGTGCCGAGTGGCGCCAGCGGAACGCTCCGGTGGGAATCCACGTGACTTTCCATTGGAAAAGTGCTTTGGGAGCGTTGTGGGGCAGTTTTAGAGCTGCCTCTGTCACTTCCAGCCCATGGTGGAGCACTGACTCCCTCGCTGCCATTCCCAAGCTCCCTGAGCAGGAATCCCGCTGCGGATCTCCTGCTGGAAGTTTGCAGGATAAAAGTCGGTGGGATTTAGGTGTTATTTTCTAGGGAATGATTTGCTTCCTCAGCCCTGCTCTGCTGGATCCCGTTTATCCCCGTGAATGCCGGTGCTGCCTCTCCGGGTGCAGCCCTGCCGTTTCAGGGGTGACTGATCCCAGAGGGATTGATCCGGGAATGCTGATCCCGGTGTTTCTGTCCCCAGGCCATCGCTCACTACGAACAGGCCGCGGATTATTACAAAGGAGAGGAGTCCAACAGGCAAGTGATCGGGATCAGCGGGAAGGGCTGGATCAGGGATCCATCCCGGACATCCCAGAACCAAGGCGGTTTTAACCTTAAGGGCTGTTACAAAGGGAATTCCTCTAAATCCCAGCTGCTGGCTCCCGATTTTCTCCACGTGGAGGGGTAGGGGTGGTGCCGGGGCATGGGCCGGTGTATTCCCGGGACACAGGGGGTGATTTTTGGGATGTGGGTTTGCAGCTCGGCCAACAAGTGTCTGCTGAAGGTGGCGGCCTACGCGGCGCAGCTGGAGCAGTACCAGAAGGCCATCGAGATCTACGAGCAGGTGAGGAGCAGCTGCTCCATCCCCTGGGATACTAAAACCTCTTCCCGAGGGGAAGGCGGCTCGCTGGGCTGGGCTGGCGAAGTTCCCTGGAATCACGGAATTGTTTGGGTTGGGAAAGCCCTCTGAGATCGGGGTGCAACCGTTCCCCAGGTGTCACACTCGTCTTTTTTTTGCTGTCGTATCCGGCAAAAGGCTGGGAGAAGGCTGTAAAAATTCCGCTTTGGATCGTATCCACGACTCCGTTCGGCAGAAAATTCCCCCCCCAGATTTATCAGCTCTGCCTTTGTGTGGGATATTTACCCGGGAATACCCACAGTGCTTCCCTTCGTGCTTCCAGAGGGTTTATGTTGCAGCAGGACTTGTTTTCCCCTTTCCTCCTCAGCCGGGATAAATCCCCCCCCCCCAGCCTGGTGGGATCTGGCTTCCCTTGGGATGAGTTAAAAGCCTCCCTGACTCCCAAAAACCACTGGCATTTTTTTCCCGTGCGGAAATTCTGGGTGGAATTTTAATTGGCTGCCCTGTTTTTAATCCAGGCTTTCCTTTTCCCGACCCTTTTTCCATGTTTTTTTTTTGTATCCAGGTGGGAACCAACACGATGGATAACCCCCTGCTCAAGTACAGCGCCAAGGAATATTTCTTCAAAGCCGCCCTCTGCCACTTCATCGTGGACGAGCTGAATGCCAAGGTGGGTTATCCCAGAATTCCTCATCCCCCCCCTCGTGACCCTGGGCTGGCTGGGAGGAGCTCAGTGGGCTAACAGCCCTCATCCCAAAACCCCTGACCCCTCCTCCTCAGGGATTTGTGTGGCGGAATCTCGACCCACCACAGTGTCCCGTTGGAATTCTGGTGGATACTTCCCCGGGTTTGAGGATGGGAAGGCAAAATCCTGAAAAAAAAAACAAACCAGGAATTGTGTGTGAAGGGTTCTCTTCTCTCTCTTCCAGCTGGCGCTGGAGAAATACGAAGAAATGTTCCCGGCATTCACAGATTCCCGGGAATGCAAGCTATTGAAAGTGAGTAAACCAGGGAGCTTTTGCAGCTTTTCCATGATTTTTCTCACCTTTCCCAGCATTTTAGAGGACATCAGCCTCGCTGTGCCCTGGGTTTGGCCCTGACCCAGGTGTTTTCCATGGGATGAGGTGCCGGAGTGGGAACAGAGCCTTTCCTCATTTTTCCTGTTTTCCTAGAAACTCCTGGAAGCCCACGAGGAGCAGAACAGCGAGGCCTACACCGAGGCAGTAAGTGGGCAGGGATTCCCTTGGGAATGGTGGCTCCTTCCTCCTCTCTCTTTTGGGATGTGTGTTCCCTGTTCCAGGCCAGGGAAGCTGTGGAGAGGGGCCGGGAGTGGAGCTGCTCCAGCAAGACCCCAGCCTCCTACTTCAAAATTCCCAGTTTTTCATGGAGAGTTGAGTAAAGATCCCACCTGGGTTTGCTCCAGCTCCTTTGGTGTTTGACAGGGGCTTAAAATGCTCTGGGTGGGCTTGGAGAGACTTTTCCCTGTGCCTTTTCCCTTTTTTTTTCCCCACTTTTTTCCCTCCTGTCCTTTTTTTCCCCCTTCTCCTTTTTTTTTCCCCCTTTTCTCTTTTTTCCCCTTTCTCCCCCTTTTTTCCCCTTTTTTCCCCTTGCCCCCTTTCCCTTTTTTCTTCCCACTTTCCCCCTTCTTCCTCCCCTCTCCCACTTTTTCCCTTCCTTTCCCCCCCTTTTCTCCCCCTTTATTTCGCCCCCTTATTTTCCCCCCTTATTTCCCCCATTTTTCCCCCTTTTTCTTCCCTTTCCCCCTTTTTTCCCTCCCTTCCCTCACCAGTTATTCCACCATTTTTCCCCCCCTTATTTTCTCCCATCTCTTCCCCCTCTTTATTCTCCCCCTTTTCCCATTTTCCCACCATTTTTTCCCACCCATTTCCCCCCCCCTTTTTCACCCCCTTATCCCCTCCCTTATTCTCCTTCTTTCCCCTCTTTTCCCTGCCCTTTCCCCCTTTATTTTACCCTCTTATTTCCCCCCTTCTTTCTCCAGCCCTTTTTTGCTGCCCTCTTTTTTCCCCTTCCTCCCTTTTCCTTCCCTTCCCTCCCTTTTCCCCCCTTACTTTCCCCTTTTATCCCCCCCCTTATTTCCCCCTGCTTTCCCCCCCTTTTCCCTCTATTTTTCCCTCTTTTTTTCCCCCCCCCACTTTCTCACCCCTTTATTTTCCCTCCCCTTATTTCCCCCCCTTCCCTTTTTTCCCCCCACCCTTTTTGCCCCCCTTATTTTCCCCCCCTTATTTTTCCCACCCTATTCCCCCTCCTTTTTTCCCTCCCTTTTCTTTCCCCTTTTTTCCTTCTCTTTATTTTTGGGAAGGCCCAAAGCGTCACACTCCGCGCTCCCACCGTTCCAGCCTCTCTCCCTCGCCTCGATCCCTGCCTGATCCCGGGTTTTCCCTCCGCTCCAGGTGAAGGAGTTCGACTCCATCTCGCGGCTGGACCAGTGGCTCACCACGATGCTGCTGCGCATCAAGAAAACCATCCAGGGGGAAGGGGACGGGGACCTCAAGTGACGCCCGCGGGATCTTCCCCGCCCCGGCCGAGGACTATTCTGGGATACCCACCCCCCTCCTCGCTTTTATCCCGTCGTCGCTTCCCAACTCCCGGCGCCCCGCGTGTCCCTTTAGCTCCCCGCTCGTTGTGGTGGGGCCGGGCGGATCCGAGGCGGGATCCGCTTCCTCCTCCTCGGCTCTGGTGCTGCTCCACCCGGCGCCTGCACCCGCGGCTCCCGGTTTTCCTGCCGTTCTCCTGATTTTCCAGCATGTACATCTTCGGTCCAGGCCAGCACACAGCACAAAGTAACCGCTTCCGACCCCCGTCGTGTTGTTCCCGTTTTCCGGTTCTCGGTGGCCCTCTGTTGGATACAGTTGGATTTGGGGGTTCTTTAAGCTTTTTTTTTTTTTTCCCGGTGCTAGTGAGAGAGGCTTTGGGATTTGGGAACTCCTACACAACACCCCCCTTCCCCAACATGCTGCCCTAGTGCTGGAGGCATTCCAGGCTTGGGAACAGGAGCGCCGGGATCGGTGTCGGCCCCTCACGGAGCCCCGGTCCAGGGCTGGTTTGTATCTCAATATCCAGCGTTAAGGTTCTTCCTGGATGGATTTTTCCCACTTTTATTTCGTGGTGTGTCCCATCCCTCCATCCCCAAAATAACTTCCACACGAGTAATAATCTATTTTTCTACCTTTCTCTCCGCGTGTGCCGGGAATGATCCATTAATTCCGGGCCCCCCCCAAAAGTGTTGGCTGAGACCTGACATCCCACGGGAGCCTTGTTGGAACGTGGGTGCCAGGTGAGCACAGCTTGCTTGGAAAAGGCTGAAAAATTCCCGCTGGAATTTATAGGTGTGTTTAAAACCAAGTGGGGAACGAGAGAGGAATCGAGCTGCCTCTTTTTTTTTTCGTGGATATATGGGAGTCTGTGCAATCTGTCACTCGGTTTTCTGTTCCAGGAGTGAGGGAGTCATTCATTAAGGGCTGTTTTTCTCTGGAAAAAGGGAGAATTTTGGGGGGGGTTTGCACTTTGGTTGGAATTCCGGTACTGGGACAGAGCAGGGCTTGGCTCGGTGGGTGTCACTCCAGGAAGTGGCACTTGCTCTGTGCCACGAGCTTCTGAAAACCAAAAAAAAAACCTGATCCATGCCAAATTATTATTATTGTTATTATTATTATTATTGCTCCCTTCCTTCCCACAGGCTGTTGTGTAATCCCAAGTGGAGGGGAAAGCCCGGGGTTTAGGAGGTGATCTCCCAGCTCAAGTGTAGTTAATTCACTCCCACCCTCAGCAATGGCTTTGTTGTGTCCGGGATGAGGGGGAAGCACAGGCTGGGAGGCTCCACTTTTTTCCCAGTGTTGTTTTTTTTTTATTTATTTTTTAGGCCTTGTTCTGTTCCCTCTCCCCGTCGTCAGTATTAAGCACGGGGGCTGTAGGACGCGGGTGGGGCAGAGGGGTCTGTTCCTACACCCCCTACACCTGTTAGTTGTGTGTGAGTAGGCTCAGCATGTCCTCCGGTGTATCCATGGTGAACTGTGACGGTTTCCAGGTGACAATCCGCCACTTACTCCGCTGTATTTCCCCCCCCCCCCCAACTTCCATCACTCTCTACTCGGAAAACTTATTAATGAAATGGCCTTAGCAGGAATATCATGTTTTGTGTGACTCTGTACATGAATAAAGTGAAAATCATGGATGTATAAGGGAGGAGGAGAAGTGGTTTTTCTGGGAAAGACCTGGTGTGATGATGGAGGTGAGCAGGTGGAGTGTTTTCCTTCAACCCCTGTTTGGAATCACAGGATGGTTTGGGATGGAAGGGACCTTAAAGCCCATCCAGATCCACCCCCTTTTCACCATCCCAGGTTGCTCCAAGCCCTGTCCAACCTGACCTTCAACACTTCCGGGGATCCAGGGGCAGCCACAGCTTCCCTGGGGAAACTGTTCCAGGGCCTCCCCACCCCACCAGGGAAGAATTTCTTCCTAATATCCAACTGAAATGTCCCCTTTTTTTCAGTTTGAAGCCATTCCCTCTTGTCCTGTTAGTCCAGCCCCTCTCCAGCTTCCTTGGATCCTGGAAAGCTGCTCTGAGGTTTCCATGGAACCTTCTCTTCTCCAGGCTGAACATTTCCAGCCTGTCCCTGTCCCAAAGTGTGTCCCCCCCCCCCGGATCAGATCACCCAGTCACCAGGTGGGTCTCAATATTCCCATATTTTAATAAGAACAGTTAAACAGTAACTCACTTCCATACATTCCCGGAGTACAAAACTTCCCTGGCTCCAGTTCCAGACGCTCTCAGGGTTTAAATATATCTACAGCCTCTTCCCCTTGGTCACTGGGGAACAACTGAGCTTCACCGGGAATAAATATTTCAAATATAACCTCTTGGAAATGCTCTCTTTTAAAAAAAAATTCCCTTTTTTTTCTCTACATTAGAATTCCATGGCAACACCTCCGGCATCCCTTTAGGATCAAAAATAGCTCTGTGCCACAGGTTGGGGGGGGGGTGTTTATTGCTGGACAACAGGCCCTCAACACCAGGCTGGATTGTGCTTGCCTTTCCCAAAGTTTTGCTCACAGCTCCAGCTGAGAAAGTTTCTGTGGGAATACTACGGTTAACGGGCAAAGAAACGGGAAAATTCTCTGGAAAAGATGCAGGTTTTTTGCACAGTGGCAACTGGGAACCTGATCCCGAGTTTTTTGAAGCATTAAGCCACAGCAGCGAGTTGCTGTTCCCAAAAAAAGAGTCATCCCAGTCAGGTGACAACCCTCAAAGGCTCCTTCCCCACCCAGGGAAAACACCCCGAATCCTATTCCAATAAAATGGAGCAGCAGGTGCTGATCGGGAAAAGCCTCTGAGTTGAACCTTTTCCACGATGGCTGGTTTTCCCAGACACTTTTCCAAGAGATGTTTTGGTCTCTTTTAAGTGCCCACTTCCACGTGAGCTGGAGCAGCTGGAAGGTGAAGACTGAAGTGCCAGACTGCTCCAGTTTTCATGGAAATGTGGGAACACAAACCAGCACTTGGCTCCCACCTGCTCCTTTTGCTACTTAAGAGACTCAAAACTCCCGGAAAGAGACTCCAAAGCTCCCACTCGTATTCCCAAGGAGTGAGCTGGCTCACTGCTGGGATCTTTGGCGACAGCAGAGAGAAACCAAGGTTTCCTGGAAAGCAGTTTGGCCAGACTTATTCCCTGGATGAACTTCTGCTGGGGGAAAATGCAGTGAATGTCACGGAGAAACACAACCTCGGTTCTCCTGATTGTCCACGTGGCATCGAATCACCTGGAAAAACAAACCTGCACCACCTTTATAAACCCACCTGAACATGGTCCCCGAGCCACCCCTTCCAATCCCAGGGAATCAACTCCCAGGGACTCCGGGAAGTGTCACCCCGCCGACCTCCAGGAGATGGAGCTGTGGAATGAATTTTCAGAGGAACTCGGGGAAAATCCACTCCCACCACCAGCTTCCCTCAGGCAAAAGGGCTGTACAAGGGGTGCAGCTTCAGTAAATCCCGAGTCATTCCATGTTCACCAGGGCGTGGAGCTGGGGCTGGACAGGGTCCGGCTGCGCTTGGAGCACCGCGAGCTCGCTCAGGGTGCTTCCCATCAGGGCTTCCTGGGATCCTGGCCCTCCGGAAGACTTGCAGTCCGTGCCGGCGGTGCCAGGGACGGCTGCCAGGCTCTGGAAGGGGCTGTTCTCAGGGAAGGAGAGCAGCTTCTCCGGGATCTTGGGGGACACGGCGTACTCCTCGTCGGGAAGCTCCGTCTTGTGGCCGTCGTCGCTCTTCGATGATGCTCCCTCCACGATGACGAGGAAGGACTTCCAGGGGGTGTTTTTATCGTGGATCTGGAAAGGAGGGACCAGGAAAAGAGAAGGGTAAAGGTTTGGATCCAGCTTGTACTCGACGCTGGCGGAAAATTCTGTTTTTGGAACCACGGAATGGTTTGGGCTGGAAAGGACATTAAAGATGATCCAGGGGTAAAGATGGTAAAGGGACACCTTCCACTAGCCCAGGCTGCTCCAACCTGGCCTTGGACACTTCCAGGGATGTGGCAGCCACAGCTTCTCTGGGCAACCTGTGCCAGGGCACCTCCCCACCCTCGCAGGGAAGGATTCCTTCCCGATATGGAGCAGGTCCAGAGGAGAGCAACGAGGCTGGGGAAGGGACTGGAGCACAAGTCCTATGAGGAGAGGCTGAGGGAGCTGGGGCTGTTCAGCCTGGAGAAGAGGAGGCTCAGGGGAGACCTCCTCACTCTCTGCAACTCCCTGACAGGAGGGGGGAGCCAGGGGGGGGTTGGTCTCTTTTCTCAGCGAGACAAGAGGGCTCAGGGTCTTCAGCTGTGCCAGGGGAGGTTTAGGTTGGATATTGGAAGAGGGTGATCAGCCATTGGAATGGGCTGCCCAGGGAAGGGGTGGATTCTCCATCCCTGGAGGTTTTTAAGAAGAGACTGGATGTGGCATCAGCGCCACGGGCTGGGAACCACGGCGGGGTTGGACTTGATGATCTCGGAGGTCCCTTCCAACCCAGCTGATTCTGTGATTCCATGATCCCATGATCTCCCACCCAAGCCCGTTCCCCCGGGGCCATACCGAGGTGTGCCGGCGCAGGGTGGACTTGTCGGTGAAGGTCCTGCCGCAGGCGTTGCACATGAAGGGCTTCTCCCCGGTGTGGATGCGGTGGTGCCGCTGCAGCGCGTTCAGCTGCGTGAACTGCTTCCCACACTGGTCGCAGCAGTACGGCCGCTCCCCTGGGACACAGAGCGGGTTAGAGGGGTGGCACTGCAAGGCACTGAGCCCTGGGAATCACCAGTGAACACGGGGATCCCTCCAGACACACCAAAAACTCTCCTTTGGGGAACAAATCCTGTTTTCTTCCTTCCTCGGTCAGCGCAGGAGCTCGGAGCTAAACCTGGACACTGATTATCCTGGCTGGTTATTAATAATGCCTCTACAGCCCTTGGAAGTGTTCCAGGGAATTTGTGATAGTTTCAGTCTAGGCCTTCCTGGAGACCAGCTTGTAACCAGGGAGGAACTAGGGAAGTGACTAGGGAAGTGACTAGGGAAGGGACCAGGGAAGGGACCAGGGAAGGGACCAGGGAAGGGACTAGGGAAGGGACTAGGGAAGGGACTAGGGAAGGGACTAGGGAAGGGACTAGGGAAGGGAACAGGGAAGGGAATAGGGAAGGGAACAGGGAAGGGAATAGGGAAGGGAATAGGGAAGGAATAGGGAAGGAATAGGGAAGGGACTGGGGAAGGGACTGGGGAAGGGACTGGGGAAGGGACT